ATCTTCAAGGGATCCGACCGCCTGTCGTACCGCCTGTAAATACTTGATCATGGCTGGATGGGTTGCTTCGTATTCGCCATTATACTGACTCACTATCAATTGTGAATCGGAACAGGCGTCTATCTTTCGTGCCCCTGCCGCCTTGCACATGCGGATTCCAGCTAGTAAAGCTTCATATTCTGCCTCATTGTTTGAGGCCTGAAAACTGAAGCGTAGAGCATACTCGTACATGTCGCCCTCTGGTGACTGACATATGACGCCTGCTCCACAACCATTTGATGTAGAGCTTCCATCCACATATACCTTCCAGACTTGGTCTGGATCTCGAGAATCAGGGGGACGAGTCATCTCAACAATAAAGTCAACAAAGGCTTGCCTCTTCACTGCTTTTCTAGGCTCGAAAGTAACTTCGAGGCTCTGTATTTCTATGGCCCATTTGATCATTCGGCCTGACGACTCCATGGTGGTCAGTGGCCGCTTGATAGGTTGATCTGTATACACGACGACTGCATGTGCCAAAAAGTAGGGCTTCAATTTTTTAACAGCCATGAAGAGTGCAAGACCAAATTTCTCCACTAAGGGGTACCTCAACTCGGCATTTTTCAGTACATGACTGACAAAGTAGACCGGGAGCTGACAGCCGTCTCTTTCAGCAAGAAGAACAACGCTTAACGCATGATCAGAGACGGCCAGGTACATGTAAAGTACTTCTTTGGGTAAAGGGCTGACCAGCCTCGGCAAGGAATGCAAGTGAACTTTCAATTTCTGGAAGGCCGCCTCAGCATCCGGCCCCCATTCAAACCTTGCCTTCTTCTTAATTGCCTGGAAAAAGTATAGGCATTTGTCGCCTGATCGGCTTAGAAATCTTCCCAAGGCCGCCAGACAACCTGTTAACTTCTGAACCTCTCGGATGGTACGAGGCGACTGCATGTCGATGACCGCCTGCACCTTCTCAGGGTTCGCCTCTATTCCTCTCTGATTGATAAGGAATCCGAGAAATTTCCCAGACTCAACTCCAAAGACACATTTCTTGGGATTGAGCATGACATGGTGCCGCCTGAGTGTGGCGAAAGTTTCTCGGAGGTCCGACAGATGATCTTTCTGAAGTTTAGACTTGACAATCATATCATCAATATATGCCTCGACATTTCTCCCAATCTGATCAAAGAACACAGTGTTTATCATTCGCTGGAAAGTGGCCGGGGCATTCTTAAGACCAAACGGCATGACCGTGTAATAGTATAACCCTTGATCAGTGACGAAGGCCGTTTTCTCCTGATCTTTCTTCCATAAAGGAATTTGATGGAAACCAGAGTAGGCGTCCATAAAGCTCATCAAAGCATGGCCGGCTGTTGAGTCGACCAGGTTATCAATTTTAGGCAGAGGGTAACTGTCTTTGGGGCACGCCTTGTTTAAGTCTGTGTAGTCTACACACATTCGCCAGGTGCCATTCGACTTTTTAGCAAGCACCACATTTGCAACCCAGTCTGGGAAGTTACATTGCCGGATGAACCCTGCATCAAGTAATTTTTTAACTTCGGCGGCTGCCGCCTGACTTCTTTCTTCGCCATGGTTCCGCTTCTTCTGCCTTACCGGTTTCTTTTTCGGATCCACGGCCAGTTTATGTACCGCCAGATCAGGACTAATGCCTGGCATTTCATGGACTTCGAATGCAAAGATGTCCTTGTATTCTTTCAATAGTTTGTGAAAGTCGTCACCCAAGAACCTTAGAGCAGTCGTCCCAACTTTGACTGTTCTGTCAGGACGCGAGTCATCTAAGATCAGGTCCCTATGCTCACCAGTTGGCTGAGGGCGAAATTCATCCGACCGCTCCTCTGCCAATGATTGCTATTTTCTGTCTTTTCTTGCGGCCCCCGTCTGGGATGCCTTTCTCTTCTTGCCGCCTGCTTCTTGAACAGGCGCACTCTCCTTGACATTGTCAAGGTCTGTTTTTTCACCTCTTGACCCAGTGGCCATAACAGTGGGCTTGACATCCGAGAGATAGCACTCTCGGGCCATCCTCTGATCTCCCCTTAGGGAGCCGACTGTTCCATTATCCCTCTCAAACTTGAGCAACATAAGAGATGGGATTATAACAGCCTTGGAATTATTCAGGGTTGGTCGACCCAGAATCATGTTGTAGGCCGAGAGTTCTTCTACTACCAGGAACCGGACTACCATGTGTCTTCCTTCCCCTTTTTCACCCAGGCGGATGGGTAAATCCACTCGTCCCACTGGGTGGACTCCTCCTCCTCCAAACCCTACTAAAGGGTGGGATGCTGGATGTATGCAATCAGTCTGATATTTTAGTTTCGACAGACATTTGCTACTGATGAGATCTGAGGAGCTTCCGGTATCTATGAGGATTCGACCAACTCTCTGGTTGGCCACTTTACATTCAATAACGATAGGGTCATCATGCGGCCCTCTTACCCCTCCTAGATCTTCTTCAGTGATGACAATCTCAGGAAATGAATATTTGGAGGGTCGTTCTTGGTGAACGTAATTTACATCTAGCCGTTTGATATTGTCTTTGTTGCCCCTAATAGTGTGGCCGCCTCCTGAGAAGCCGCCTGCAATGGTGTAGACGACTGCATCATCTGTATCGGAGTTGTCGGCCTGTTGATTCTTTTTGGCCGACTGCTGTTTCGAGGAAGTGTTCCCCGTTGATTTCTTGACATAAGTGTCAAGATCACCTTGCTCAGCCAGGCGGTCCAGATACCGCATGAGACTGATGCATTCATTGGTGTGATGACCAACATCTTCATGATAATCACAGAATTTTTCTTGGTTCCGGTTGTTTGCAGAACCCTTCATGGGAACCGGCTTCTCAATTGAGATCCGTCCCTTGATTTCCTTTAGGATAAATTGGCTATCCTTGTTAAACGCATACTTTGGGGAGTATGGTTTGAATTCTTTTTTCTTCTTCTGGGTCGGCTGTTTAGAGGAATCAGCCGCCCAGACCTCTTTTCTCTTCTCATCTTTGTTTGACGACTGTTTCTGTCGTCCTTCTCTTTTGTCGGACCTTTTCCCGTCTGACTGTTTAACCGTACTACAAAAATCAGTCGCCTGTATATAGGCTTCCACTTCAATCAAGGCCTCTTGAAGAGTCGCCACCCTCTTTTGGACCAAATCAAATTTGAAGGTCGACCCGTCTTTGAGACCTCTAAAAAAGTCAGTATAGGCTACTTCATCCGGTAACCCTTGAATCTGTATTCTCATCAGGTTAAACCGCCTGATGTAAGAACGAAGCCCCTCCTTCTCGCCCTGCTGAATCGTTCCTAAATCAAGAGTCGTCTTCTTCGCAGGGATGTTCATGGCGAAGTTGGAGGTGAATAAGTAAGCAAGCGTCCTGAAGTTATTTACACAACCAGTCGACAGGTTGCCGAACCATTGTTGTGCGATTCCTTTGAGAGTCGCTGGGAAACACTTGCACCAAGTGGGATCATCCAACCCTTGAAGGTACATCAGGTTGGTGAATGCCATCAGATGGTCTTCTAGGTTAGTAGTGCCGTCATAGGCGCCTACTAATACATTTTTCACTTTGGCCGGCTGAGCGGCTTCTGTAATTTCCTTGGAGAAGGCCGACGGCTGTTCGCCAAGTCTAAGAACCGTAGCTGCCAGTCCATAGGTTGGACATTTTTTGCTGCATGTCCACCAAACGGAGGTGGCTGCAAAAAATATTGTTGTTGCGGTACAAACGGTAAGTTTGGTACCACCTGGTCGCTATGAAAGTCGGACTGACGGGAGGTGCCGCCTGACTAACTCTCATGATACGACCGAGTATGCCTCATCGAGGTATTGCGCAGACTGTCTTGGAAGTTTGAAGTAGAGGCCGACTCTGACAATCGGTCACTCTTCTTCTGCTCTAGCAGTAGCCGAGCATCTGTGTATGTTTTCCTCGACTTGTCCGCGTGAATATGACGAACATGTTTCCTCTTTCCTGGAGTAGGAAAACGGTATTTTGTGAAATCAAGGGCAGGCGGCTCCCACTTCCTAGATTTAGGATGAGGGGTCGCCTCACGCCCTTGAATTGGCTTCCTCTTCCGTGAAGTGGAGGGTTTCTTAGCCGACTGCTCCTTGTCCAGAGCAGGCGGCTTCTTGTTGATCAACTCTTGAATTTCTCCCTTGAAGTCCCTCATGAAGGTCATGAGTTCGTTCCTTGTGATGGGAGCAGACCCATCAGTCGGCTGCTGCCGAACAGGCGGTGCGCCTGCTGGCTCACTTCCAGTTTGAAGATGTTCCCGTTCCCTCCTTTCGGTATGACGGGTACGTCGGGCCCTTAGGGTCCCGTCTGAAGCTGTGTGAGCTTCAACTTCAAATTCATTCTCAGTATCGTGGTCCGACTGAACTAGAGGGTCGTCTAGGGGACGTCTCTCTTCAGGAGCCGGTACAAACGTGGATTCCATCTCAGAAGTACTCTCCCCACAGACGGCGCCAAAAATGTTTCGGGGTTTTCTGATGTCCTGCGGGAGAGTTACAATTCCGAGACTGGAACCGGACGCCTGTACCTGCAAAACAAACGGATGCTCCGGATGATTGGAGATACGCCTCCGACGGTCAAGTTAGTACTTGATAAGGAGTAATTAATGCGGAAATTAAAGTGATTGGGTCTCTCTAGGTGAGAGTGTTTAATGTGTGTAATCTGCGTAATCCCCCTTAATGAGGATTAAGGGAGGTATTTATAACCTCGGGAAACGTGCCAACCCTAGGTTTAGGTTAACCTTGGGCTGATTGGGCTTCCCTCGGAAGTTGGGCCGAGGTGGCCGACTTCTCCATTAGGCATGGAGTATGCCACGTGTCATGACATAATAGGTCCAGGGTGGACGAATAAGCGTGTGCCACGTGGCAAGCCCTGAGAGGTCCAACTGGGGGACACTTGGCAGGACCTGATTGGCCCACGTGGCGCATTCCGATTGGTGGGAGCAAAATCCCCTAATCATCTCTAATGACGACTCCCTGATCAACCCAGCCTTATGAGTCAAGACTTGCATCGCAATTCACCTTAACAACATCATGAGGAGGCGGTTTCCATACCTTAGGACTAGAGGAAATAGCAGGGCACCAATCCCACCATATATCTTCTCAGCATAAGCAGCGATGTCTGTTGATAAGGCTTTTGTGCGCTCAATGACAGTGCAGTGGCTGACTTCCACACTGTTAAACACTATGTCGTTCCTCCTGTTCCAAATTTTCCACAATAGAATGGCACCAACATGAATAATAGAGGAGAAGCGCTCCTTCCATTCAACAAGAAAGTCCGCAAAAGTAATCCCAGCACTCCAAATTAATTTCTCACAGCCCACTTCAGTCCAGAGATCTTTAACCGTAGGACAATCAAGAAATGCATGCCTCATAGTTTCAGCTTCAGTAGAGCAGCAAGGACATACCTTATCCGTAGACATATGGCTATAAACGAGATACTCACGCACAGGAAGAGTCCCTATACCTACTCTCCACAAAAAACGTCGAATCTTTGGAGTGACATTCAAACCCCAAATAATCACCCATGCCTTATGAAAATTATCGAGATTACACGATTTGCCCAGAAAATAAGCTATTTTGACGGAGTATCTTCCATCCTTTGAAAAAGCCCAAATTTGCTCATCACAGGGAAGTCGCATACTGAGAGGTATAGACAAAATGCATTTCACATCTCTATCGCAAAAATTCTCCGAAATAAAATCATGCTTCCATTCTCCAGAGTCCAGGTCAATAAGATCCTTTACTTTCTCCACATTGGCAATTTTCTTAGAAACAATTTTACTCCCCAACTCATCCGCTACCCAAGCATCATCCCATATGTTGATTTGGTCCCCCTTTCCCACTCTCCAAATAAGACCCTCTTGAAAAAGAGGTTTTGAAGACCAAATACTAGTCCAAGAATAACTGCCTGCAAACCCCAAAGACGATTCCAAAAAAGCAGAATGTTTAAAGTACTTTGCTACCATGACCTTGCCAAGAAGGGACTTCTGGTGTTGCATTAATCGCCATGCTTGCTTCCCGAGAAGTGCCAAATTAAAAACACCCATGCCTCGAAAACCCATACCACCAAGACACTTAGGCTCACATAAGGATTTCCAATTCACCCAATGAACCTTTCGTTTGCCATCGGAATGACCCCATCAAAATCTCAAAGTTATAGAACGAATGTCATCAATAACACTCGAAGGGATTCTATAAACTCCCATCAAATAGGTAGGAATTGCTTGGATTACCGCTTTGATAAGGATCTCCTTTCCGGCTCTAGAGAGAAGTTTCTCTTTCCATCCTTGCATTTTCTTCCACAATCTATCTTTCAAGGCCGAAAAAATCACTCTTTTCGATCTTCCGATAATGGTTGGGATGCCTAGATATTTCTCATGTTTTTTCAACCTTCTTCATATGCAGAATTTCAATTAGTTCCTCTTTCCTTGACTCACACACGCCTTTGCTAAAAGACACCTTCGATTTCTCATAATTAATTTTCTACCCGGAAGCTGCTTCGTACATGTTGAGAATTTCAACTATTTTTGAGCATTCTTGTCGGTTGGTGATAAGTGGTTTATTTGACCACTTATTGTGTTAATTTAAACCCGATTTTGCATTCATTTCCCCTCTTTCTAACCCGTTTTTGAATGAAAATGTTTTGTCTCGGCCGTGCCCCCTCTAGATTTGTGTTTGTCCATGTTTTGCAGGTCTATTGACTCAATTTGGCAAGCATTCGATGCATGGTTTGTGTTCAAGGCAAGGAAATTAGAGAATGGAGAGGGTGCTCCAGCTGGAGCGGGCGTGCACCCCTCAGGAGCGGGCGCTCGAAACCTTCTGCCAAGTTTCTGCCAAACTTAATGCCAAGTGCACCCTGTGAGGAGCGGACGCTCCTCCCCAAACTTTCAAAACTGTTTGTATTCTTAAGACAGCTGGAGAGGGCATGCAGCATTCTGGAGCGGGCGCTCCTTCGCCGGGAATCCGTTTTCTTTTGACGGATTTCCCTATGTGTTTCGGGGAGTATATTTACTTTCCCTTTAGTTCATTTGTAACTTAGACAGAAATAGCCTAGTTTTTAGAAACTCCTCTTAGTTTGAAACATTAATTTAGCTTAGTTTTCATCACATTAATCATTGTAATAGTTGGTTTCAAGATTCATCCTCAAGAATTGGCACTTTGTATTCAACATTTCCAAGCTTCAATTAGTAACTTCCTTCTACTTTTCTCCATTCAATTTCTGATTTTATTTGTTCTTGCATGATATTTAAATCTTCTTAGTTCTTGATAATTTGTTATTAGATGATAGTTATTTCAATTGTTAATCACTTTTCCCCAATTATTGAAGAAGTTAGAACCCTAATACTTGTTTGCATGTTGATAAACATGAGTTGTGAATAGTCTACTTGCTAGGGGTTGGGTGAAGCTCAACCTTTTGGGTTAATTATGCAAATGTGGGAGAAGCATTGATGTTTGTATTGCAATTAAATTGATTATATGAGATTGCTTGTTAGTTCTTCATGATAGGATTAGTTACCCTTGACTTAGGAGCTTAATAGCATGATATGCTTAGTTTGACATGGGAATGTAAATTGAGTATGTCATTACTTATTGCAATTTAATTATGTATCCTCTATTGCTAGACTAATGAGGAAATCTAAGTTTAGTAGTGTGAGTTGTTTTCTAATTGCATGAGGTTGATTTTACGTATTGTCCTTGCTATACCTTGTTTATTTTACTTCCCGTTTGCCTAATTGCCTTGGTTGAGTGGATCCCATTCCCTATTGTCTTTAATCCCTCGATTTAGAATCATAGTTTGTTTGTCTACTTGACGAACCTCAATTGACCATAGACTTCGAATTAGCTTAAGTGTTAAGATCTTTAGCAACCATATCCCGTTCCTTGTGGACCGAACTCTTACTTATCATTATGCTTGGTTTGTAAGGTGTTTGCTAATAAATGTGTTTGATTGAGTGTGGAATGTGCGACCGTTCTAACGCCCATCAGTTGGCTCTTGCGAAAAGAAAACTGCCATCAGCAAAAAGGAGATGTGAAATTGTGGGACCACTTCTTCTGGCTTTAGCCCCATGAATCACATTGTCATCCACCGCTCTACGAATGAGACCTGAAAAAGCATCTACAATCAGAATAAAAAAGGTAGGGTGATAAAGGATCACCCTGTCTAAGCCCCCTGGAAAGCACAACAGGACCACATGGAAAACCGTTCACAACAAAAGAATATGAGACTGTAGACACACACTCCATGACCAATCGAACCCAGTTATCAGCAAAACCGAATCTGATGACCAAATCCTGCAAAAAAGACCATTCCACTCTGTCGTATGCCGATCATATCAAGTTTTAAACCCACAATGCCCTTTCTCCCTTTGCTTCTCTTTTTCATAGTGTGGAAGACCTCTAGAGCAGTTAAAGCGTTGTCTGTAGTCAACCACCCGGGGACAAAAGCACCTTGATTTTCATAAATCAGATTAGGGAGAACATGTTTTAAGTGCATAACAATAGCTTTTGAGGCTAATTTGTACAACACATTGCACAGAGAGATAGTATAGGCCGAAATTTAAAAATTAACTCCGGGGAATTCACCTTTGGGATTAGCGCCACATTGGTGCTATTAACAATTCTAATTAAATTGGATCTAGGCTCACATGAACTCAATATGGCCTTATTCGAACTTGACTTGATTCGACCACATATACTCAGACCCAAATTTTACCCCAATTTAAGTGAACTTGACCCGACTTGATTTGATTTGATTTAAATGACCCGTCATCACCCGATTCAAATTAAACAACCCGACCCATGATAGTTCAACACAAACTCCATTAAGAATTAAGATACCCGATCTGACACCCCCACTGGCCACTCCTATTCAATCACTCAATACCAACCGTATAACATTTATTCGTGCATATCCTAGCATAAATATGGGTGCAACATTGGCAACCACATAATGCACAAAGAAAGGCAATGAAATGTACGCAAGTAAATGGAAATGCGTGGTATCACAATATCACACCATAATTATGGCACCAATTTAATGCACCCCATCCATACACTCACCTAACTGAATTGCACATCATCTCATTTTTAAATACATCACAACTACTTCCACTCTTCCAGTCCATTTCATCCTCCTAACTAGCCAACTAGCTTAGTGTAGTAATAACATACAAGCAATCAGTAATAACAAGTAACAACAACAACAACAACACCATTTTCAATTCATTTGATCAGGAATTGAAGACAGGGAGATATGGCGGAGAAGATAATTCCGATGAAAGGAGGCGTTGTTGCCGCCGACAATGAGAGTGGTAGAACCACCAGCATGCGTACTGCCGAGACGCTGTTCCGGTTGCTGCCTATGGGTTTGTGCGTAGCTGCTCTTATTGTCATGCTCAAGAACTCTCAAACTAATGATTTTGGCTCTCTTTCCTACACTAATCTTGGTGCTTTCAAGTAAGTTTAACTACTGTGTCTTTCCTTTACTTGCCTTTTTTTCAATGATTTTTGTAGAGAAAATTGATAATGATGTTTGATTATTTTAAAAACTAGCTAGGTTAATTGGAGATGTGAACAAAATAATTCATTTTAATTTGTATTATCACTCTATAATATATATACGCAATATATAATATATATTATTCTGTGTTGAATAGTGCCAAATTGAAATATTATTTGCACAATAATTATAGTGACATAACATTTCACTTTTGTATAGTCCAAAATTTTTTTATGCTAGATTTGGTTAGATTTTCTAACAAGAGAACAAAAACTCAAATTAGGTACTACATAGTTTGAAGATGAGTCATGCATTGAGGTTTAGGTTTCGGGATCTATTGGATGACTATACTAAATTACTAAGTAAATAATTTTTAATTTTTTTAGATAGAAGAAAAGTCTGGGGAATTAGAGAATGAAAATATTTGATCATTCTCTTTTGAAAGCATTCAATTCTTATTATAAGCTTTGAGAGATTTTTAAAAGAAACTTTTTAGAGAATCAATTGTGTTTTACTAAATATAATTAGTAATTTGTAATTTCTATAATCATAGACAGATTCATAAACTTTGTATAGGGTGGGTCGTATGAAATGACAAGAACAATTTTTTTTAAACCCCCGATCCATTGCTGTAGGATGCGTATTACAAAGAAATTGGAAACCAACTTAGAGCCTGTTTTGATTGACTGAACTGAACTGAACTGAACTAAACTGAATTTAACTAGTTAGAGCTGAACTAAACTGAACTGATTATTTTATGAGAGAAGGTAATTAAGAACAAAACTGAATTGAACTTGTTAGAGCTAGACTGAACTGAAAATAATATGAAGAGAACAGGCTCTTAGCAAGTTTTATTTTATTTTATTGTACAAATACAACAATTTAATTAACATACTACCTAAACTATTCTGGGCATGGGGTAGAATAAATGGATTAAATAAATTGATATAGTAGCTATGGAGTAATTGTACTTGGTGCATGAGGTCTAATTGTTCTTAGTGAAATTGATGGTATGCAGATATCTTGTTCATGCAAATGGCATATGCGCGGGTTACTCCCTCCTATCCGCGGTGGTTACAGCCATTCCTCGTCCTCCCACCATGTCTAGAGCTTGGACCTTCTTCCTCCTTGACCAGGTTAATTGGATAATACAATTCAATTTCATGTTCCAAGATTCAGTACTTTTTTAATCTATACTACTCAACATGCCATAAAGAAGAATCAATTACTAATGTTTTCTAAATTTCAAAGCTATATTCTTTTTAGTTACAATTAACTTCATAATTGTAAGAGCTTGGACTTTTTGCCACAATATTTCAAAATGTGCTTAAACTATATATAAATCTATAATATATGTATGTTAGGGAAAAACTTTGTATACTCATCAACAATAAAGATTAGTAGTAATGGAATTCAACTCGACATGATAAATAATAAATATTTTAACATTGTATTAATAATGGTCTTGTGGGTAACCTGTCCAGTGGATAGATGTAGCTTTGCTCTCACTGGATTATTTAACAGTTCTAATTACCTATAAAAAATTTCTGTAAGTACAGCTATTGACGTACATAATCTTAGCGGTGGGAGCAGTGTCAACTGAACTGAACTGAACTGAATAAAGATTATTAATAATGGAATTCAACTCGACATGATAAATGATAAATATTTTAACGTTGTATTAATAATGGTCTTGTGGGTAACCTACCCAGTGGATAGATGTAGCTTTGCTCTCACTGGATTATTCTGCGCTTCTAATTACCTAAAAATATTGTGTGCGTGTAGCTATTGACGTACATAATCTTAGCGGCGGGAGCAGTGTCAACTGAAGTAGTGTACTTGGCATACAAGGGAGACACGGCCATCACTTGGAGTGCAGCATGTGGTACCTTTGGAGGGTTTTGCCACAAAGCTACTGTATCAGTTTCGATTACTTTTGTTGTAATGTTATGTTATGCTGCTCTTTCTCTTATCTCATCATACAGGTTGTTTAGCCGCTTTGATCCACCTACTACTCATTCCGGCAACAAGGCTGCTGAGATGGATGTCTTCCATACTTGATCGATCAATTCGATCGATCACAATTCACAAAGCCATGGGAGTCGTCATGGATGCCTTAGCTTCCATGACTCCATCATCGATGTTTATTGTTACTAGTCTTTTGTGTAGCCTTCTAATGAAGATGTAATGGACATACATGTATTGTTGTTGTGTATTAATTTGTGTGATAATTGAATGTTTGTGTAGAACTCTTATGACTAGCTACTTGTTATTGGATAATATAAGCTGAAGTAGTATCCCAAACTAAAGCCACAAATTGATATAGAGAATTGGGAATGAACAAGGATAATTGTAAAAAATATGACTATTAGAGAAGACAATAGATTTAGAATGACTTATCTGATGAAAATATTTTGACAATAGATTTGCTAAAATATAGAGAGAATTTGATAAATTGAATAAACTCAATCACTTGAATTACAATCATGATGGCCATGGCCAATAAATAATACATCGTTCCCAAACCCGATAGAATTAGGAAATAATCAAAGATATCAAAAAGATATTATGCTAGGCATAAAATATATACTAAGCATAAAATATGAAAACTAAATATATCCTAATAATTTCCCAAAATATATCCAAAATATATCCTCCAAAATATATCCTCCAATACCCCCCTCTCAAGTTGGAGCATGGGGATTGTAAATGCCCAACTTGGAAAGAAGATGATCAAACTGAGACTTCCCAAGAGCCTTAGTGAAAATATCTGCAAGTTGCTCCTTAGTGGAGACATAGGAAGGAGCAATTAAGCCCTCTGTAATAGCATCACGAACAATGTGACAATCAATCTCAATGTGTTTTGTACGTTCATGAAAAACTGGATATCGAGCTATATGTAAAGCAGATTGATTATCACAAAACAACTTGATCGCCTTAGGGTATTGGACACCCAAACTCAAAAGCAATGCCTTCAACCATTTCAACTCATGTGTGGTTGAAGCCATGCACCGATACTCAGCCTTAGAAGAAGAGAAAGATATCGTGGGTTGCTTCTTGGTTTTCCACGAAATAGGAGATTTACCAAGAAAAACTAGCCAACCAGTCAACGAACGACGGGTAAGAGCACACGCTGCCCAATCTGAATCACACCAAGCAAAGTCAGGTCACTATCTGCACTTAACAAAATACCATGTCCTCGAGTACCCTTTAAATAACGAACCACCCTAAGAGCTGCTTCCCAATGCTCAATCCGAGGTTCGTGCATAAACTAAGAAAGAATATGAACCGAATATGCCAAATCTGGTGTAGTCACCGAGAGATAAATCAACCGCCCTACTAGTCTACGATAAGACTCAGGATCCTCAAGTAACTCACTACTAGCAAGACTAAGCTTGTGGTTCTGCTCAATCGAAAAACCACTTGGTTTCGCACCCAATAGCCCTGCTTCAGAAACAATATCCAAGGTGTACTTTCGTTGACACAAAAACAAACCTGACTTACTACGAGCAACTTCAATTCCCAAAAAATATTTCAAAGGACCAAGGTCCTTCATCTTGAAACAGTCACCAAAATAAGCTTTGAACACAGTTAATGCAGCGAAATCATTCCCAAAAATAATAAGATCATCAACATAAACTAAGGCATTAATCTAAACATTGCCTTTAGTGTATGTGAAAAGAGAATAATCAGAGTAAGATTGAATAAAACTGTACCCTTTCAAAGCTGTAGTGAGCTTTGCAAACCAACATCTCGGAGCTTGTTTCAACCCATACAAAGACTTTCTCAAACGACACACCAAACTCGAATCCGAGCTCTCAAAACCTGGAGGTAATTTCATGTACACCTCTTCTTCAAGATCGCCATGTAAGAAAGCATTATAAACATCCATCTGTTGAATCTCCCAGGTTTTTGAAACTGCTATAGCAAGAAAAGCGCGAACAGTAGTCATTTTTGCAACCGGAGCAAAGGTCTCACCATAATCAATACCTTCTCTTTGATGATTACCAAAAACAACCAAACGTGACTTGAGACGTTCAAGATCACCATTAGACAAAAATTTCGTCTTATACACCCATTGACAACCTAGTGCTTTCTTGCCGGGAGGAAGATGCTCCAATGTCCAAGTTCCATTATCTTCCAATGCCCTTATTTCTTCTTTCATAGAACGTCGCCAACTTTTAGATTTCATTGCTTCTTTAAAGGATTTTGGATCCTTTCCCAAAACAACGGCTGCAAGAAATTTGCGATAATTCACAGAAAACATGTCACAATTTATATAGTGTGCTAGAGGGTAAGGCGTACCTGAAGGAGGGATTGGAGACGGAGTGGACGGAGACGGATTTTTAGCAAAAACTGAGTGAGTCACATAGTCACGATGACGAACATTGGGAATTTTTTTACGGAACCCCCTACCTAAGGGTTCTACACTTGATCGGTGGTCACTCGACCCATCACCCGATGGAAATCCATCGGGGAAGGCAGAACTAACGGGCTGCTGCTGGGAAGCCGACCCCGCGCCCGCGGCCTCACCTCCCGCGCCCGCGGCTTCACAGCCCGTGCCCGCGACATCTTCCTGCGGGAAGACAGGCTGCTGGGCAGCAGACTCCGCGGCCTGCCTGCGGGATGGCCCCTGCTGCTGCGGGTAGGCTGTGGCATGGTCTGTCTCGGGCTGCTGCGTGTGTTGCACAATATTTTCGACACTCGTGGCAGCTTTTTCATTGATCTGTAAAATGCTCTCGTCTCCCATAACTACCTCATTATCATCAAACACCTCATACTCCATGAAATCTGTATGAACATCATTATTTTGATCAAAATTTGTGGACTCTATATTCACAACTTCCGGACTACAAAAAGGAAACACTTCCTCAACAAATTTCACATCACGTGACACAAAAAAAAACTTTTGACTCAAGGTCATACAATCTCCATCCTTTCTTCCCAAAGGGATATCCCACAAAAATACATTTCCTACTTCGACTTGCAAATTCGTCCCCATTTGTTTTCTGATTATGAGCAAAGCACAAACATCCAAAAGTACGAAGGGCATCAAATAAGGGAGGTTTATTGAACAAAATTTCAAATGGAGTTTTATTTTGTAACAAGGAAGTGGGTGTACGATTAATTAGGTGAGCAGCGGCAAGAACACATTCCCCCCAAAAATAAATAGGCAAATTGGCTTGAAACCTTAAAGCTCTCCCAACTTCAAGAATGTGTTTGTGTTTTCTCTCAACTCTCCCATTTTGTTGTGGAGTCCCCACACAAGAGGTTTGAAAAATAATTCCAGTAGCACTAAAATAATCATGCAAACAATTAAATTCAATGCCATTGTCACTTTGCACAACCTTAATGGTTTGAGAAAATTGTCTATCAACCATAGCAACAAATGCTAAAAACATTCGAAAAACCTCAGTTTTTATCAACCTACAAGTAAATCCAAATAGCTCGGGAATAATCATCAACAATAGTTAAAAAAAACGAGCTCCACACGAAGAAACATGTCGATACGGACCCCACAAATCACAATGTATTTTCTCAAAAATCCTAGAAGCTCTACTATCACTCAAAGGAAATTTATCTCTAAGATGTTTAGCACGCATACATACCTCACACCCTTTAGAAAGATTATGTTTATTGCCACTAACATGAGGAAGTAACTTAACCACTTTTTATGAGGGATGACCCATTCGACGATGCCACAACTCCAAGGTCGTCCTTGGTTCACCCACATCAACGTGATTCACCGAATTTGAATTGCTAAAATAGAATAATCCGTCCTCTCCTAACTCCCGTTCCAATCAGCTCCTTCGTTTGATCCTGTACAACACACATATAAGGGTTAAATTGGACAGTACAATTAAGCTCATCGATAATTTGTGACACAGAAAGCAAATTGCAACTCAAATTAGGAACATAAAGAACCCCGGTTAGAACTTGTCTGACAAACGAACAGAACCAATTAAAGAAGCCAATACGGTGTTACCATTAGGAAGACCAACATGACACTCTAGACACTGCGTATCAAACAACCAATATTTGTCCCCGGTTACATGATGAGTTGTCCCTGTGTCAATAATCCAAGAGGTAGCATCAAATTTTCCATTCAAACGATTATCGGGAACATTAACATTACCAAGCAATCCCGTAATTGCATTTGAAACACTATGGACTGAATATTTCCCCCCTTGGACTCCAGAAACCACACGTATGAGAGGGGGTGACATAGGAGATGTTTCATCATCCCCGGCCATATTATGAGTTTGGAAAAAAAAAAACAAGAAATTTTAACCTGCTCTTGATACCATGCTAAAATATAGAGAGAATTTGATAAATTGAATAAACTCAATCACTTGAATTACAATCATGATGGCCATGCCCAATAAATAATACATCGTTCCCAAACCTGATAGAATTAGGAAATAATCAAAGATATCAAAAAGATATTATGCTAGGTATAAAATATATACTAAGCATAAAATATGAAAACTAAATATATCCTAATAATTTCCCAAAATATATCCAAAATATATCCTCCAATAAGATTACTGCCCTAAATTAAAATTTTACCCTGTAAGGTACATGCGAACTCGTAGCATCCAACCTCTCGATTATATTTCCAACTCTAAAGTGTAAGACGAAAAAACTAGTTAGATTATTGAGAACGGTACACTACTCCCTCCGTCCCTAAGTTACATTCCTGTTTGTACAAATACACGAGAATTGAGGAGGAAAGGATAAGACAAATAACAATAATGAAATATTTCAATAGGAAATACAAAACATTAAATGATGTCTTTGAGTAGAACAAAGATTGATTAATGATTAATGATGTCATGTCATCAATCCTTTTGCAAAATAGGACCAATAACATGCTTCTAATTGAAAATTAAGAACCAATCATATTCATTAGGTTAGTTAGGGGAAGTGCAAACTTGAGAAAAACAATGTAGAGAGAAAATAAGAGTGAGATTAGGATTGTAAGAGTGAGAAAGCATTAAATATACAACAGATTAAGAGAGTTGATTTGGGATATTTGGAAAAAAAAACTTACTAAAAATGGAAAAGAGGAATGTAATTTTAGAATACCCAAAATAGAAACTAAGAATGTAATTTAGGGACGGAGGGAGTATGATCAAGCTAAATTATTTAGAACGGTACACTATGATCAATGTCCTACAGATTGAGACTATATTTTTAACGGAAATTTCACCAAATGCCCCTGAGTTATTTTTTTATTTACCATATACCCATGCAAATATTCAAATTTACCGTATACACTTGAGTTTTACAAAAATGTCACC